GCTGTAGAGGTCCAACTCAGCTTAGGCATTTATAATTGAAAGGGTGTGGTAAAAAGGATAAATAAGCTTATAATAGCATTGTTTCTGCTTCAAAAGTAATTTTTAGCCTAGGCAATGACCCCCAATGCTTAGGCCTGCAGCCGCCAATGGTAAGAAGATTCACCAAAGTGTGGTATTATGACTTTTCCTTGCAGTTGCATGCTTAGGATAATGAAAGCTAATAATCCCAATCTTAAATTAGTGCTATTACATTACAAGGCATGAGAATGAAGGATCATTTCCCCCTATAAAGGAATGGAGTTATCTGCATCTATGCCTCTTATGACGTCACGTTTAGCCACACCCACCGACAGGAAGTAAATTGAAAGGAAGCAAAAAGTGCATTTTTGAAAGCTCATATCTCAGTGAATAAATTTTTTTAGACAATAGGAGTTGGAACACATCATTATTATGGTCAGGCAATCATATTAAGACCATAAAATAAATACCTTAAAAATCACTGCAGTTACACTTTAAATAAAATCCAATCACAAATCAGTTGATATTAGTATATCCAGTAACAGGTAAGACACACACTCACTGTATCATTGAATTATTTTACTATCATTAGATGGATACTGTGTTAATAGTACCAATTCAATCAATGCTTCATTTATTAAAGAGAAAGCACTTGAAGTACAAAGATCACTTCCTTTGCATCGCAGAAGCCAATTCATTTATCCATGGATTGTATTCTCATGTAATGGATCAGTTACTAAATGGATCTTTGGAGCTAATAATAATGGGAATCTAAGTCAACCTGAGCTCCAAATATGGCGTCAACTGGGTCCCAATAATTACAATAAAACAGGATCTAGTTTAATTAATGCTGATACAATGATTGGTACTAATCTCTATGAGTTTATTCCTCAGACTCCACTGCAGTTCCAGGAAGGAGACATATTTGGTGTTTATAGTTATAAGATTGATGGGGAAAGATTAGTTCTATATGAACAAAGAGAGAGTGGACCAACTAACCTACGAATCAATTCTAATCTTAACTCTCCTCCATTAAAAATAACTGAAGTACTAGCAACAACCAACAATGACTTCCCTTTAATTACTGTGGAGATAAGTGAGCCAGTAATTTTATGTTTAAAATTATTTTTAATATTAGGTGTTAGTACTGATTCTGTTCTTGTTACTACCTCATCTGTGGAGAATAGTCCAGTAATTTCTATTACTTCAGTAAGTTATGAGTTAGCTATTTTCTTCACAGTCTTTATTTTACTATCAGTTTCCAAGTATTATAAATTCTCCACCTTCTACTGAATCTTTTCATTCACAATCCTCCTACTTACAAACTTTAAACATTGTCTCTCAATCAATGGGATATATTGATATTTCATCATCTCAAGTATTAATGAATTCATCAGAAACTCTAATACCAACAAGCACTCAAACTAATAATGCCATTACTAGTATCACTACTACCACTAGTACCGCAAGTACTAGTGGTAGTGATAGAGTGTCATTTATGACAACAACAGATGGTACTTTACTATCAACTTCATCATCAAATGTCATAGGCAACCCTGCAAGCAACACTAGTGGGTCAATAACAATCATCATTGCTGCAGTGTCATCATTGTTATTACTAGTGGCTGTTGGACTAGTTGTGTCATTGTTAGTTGTTATTACTGCTTGCCGTATAAAGAGAAAGAAGAGTAGAGGGATTGATTCTGTTTCTCAGGATAGAGACAGTGGCTTAAATAATCCAACATACGGAGATAATTGTTATGCTAACACAAAACATAATCTTTGTATAAATTCAAAAGAACGAAGTTGTTCTTATGAAAGTGAGTGTGTGTTTGTGTCATGTGATGTTTCAGTTTAATCTGTGTCATTTAATGTGATGTAGTTACTAATGATGTATACGGAGAGCAAGAGCTAGTAGGCTCACTGAATCCCTTACTACCAACAAATGATGGCATATCTAATACACTGATGACTTTAGAAATGAACGATGTATTGTATGGAAACAATGAAACTGAAGGACTCTATTCAGAAGCAGTTGCTGCCCCTACTTCTGCTCTGGTGAGTATACAGAATCCAATAAACATCAGTAGCTAATGCACAACATGTTTATACTGATGTAAATTATTAGATTAAAATAATATACTTTCTCA